CGGCCCGGGTTCGATCCTCAGCACCACATACAAACAAAGATGTTGTGTCTGCCAAAAACTAAAAAATAAATATTAAAAAATTCTCTCTCTCTCACTTCTCTCTTTAAAAAAAAAAAAGAGATTCTTCTTTCTAACCCTCTCCTTGACAATTCTAAAGTGTATGTTCATTGCTTATGATCCTGATAGGTGATCATAGATGAGTTAATAAAGAAACTGGACATGAATCTGAATGAGGACATCAGTTCCCTATCCACTGAAGAGCTTCGTCAGCGTGTGGATGCAGCAGTGGCTCAAATTGTCAACCCAGCCCGAGTGAAAGAACAATTGGTTGAGCAACTGAAAACCCAGATCCGAGATCTTGAGATGTTCATCAGCTTTATCCAAGGTCAGAGAAGAGATTGGAGATAGAAGGGTGGATGGATGTCATACTAATTATATTTATTCTGAGTACTAATACCTAAAGGTACCAGTTATGTTTTTCCTTTTTTTTTTTTTTCAGACTGGTTCTCTTAGTATTGTCCAGGCTGACCTTGAATTTGTGGACCTAAGCAATTTTCTCACACCCCAAGTAGACTAGAAGACTATAGGCATACACCACACACCACTGGCCCTGGCTAAGGTGCTAGTTCTTTTTTTTTTTTTTTTTTTTTAAGTTGTATTGCTTTGCTAGCAAAGGAGAAACACAGGCTATGATTCCCCCCATCAGCAGGAACAGGGGGCTGTTAAAAGAGATGATTCAAAGGCTACATTCCACTTGTTTTCTGTTGGAGTTCTAATTCACTTGTTAATATGGGAGATAGTCATTTCTGAGATCTTCTGGTACCATCCCCAAAGTCTGGCTTGCTTTGTTCCTATGGTGGGTGTGTACTCAAGGACAGGTAAATCTTCTTAAAATGGGGAATCCTGTTTTCCCCTGAGATTAGGGACTAGGAGAGATTAGGGAGGAGCAGGGAGAGAGGAAGAGAAAGAAACATGTCCATTTTAAAAATAAGTTGCAGTAGCAGAACAGCAAGGGCTACATTCAAAGCATAAAGTGGACCACTGTTACATTGCTAGTTCTTAATGTACTATTTAAGAGGTCTTATCTGCATGATAGAGTAGAAGGAACACGGTTTTAGAACCAGATAAAGTTCCAGTTCTTCCACTTCCTGGCTTTATATCTTTGGGCAGGTTACTAACTGCTTTAGTTTTTTTCAATTATTTATTTATTTATTTTTATTTATATATGACAGTGGAATACATTAAAATTCTTATTACATATATAGAGCACAATTTTTCATACCTCTGGTTGTATACATAGTATATTCACACCAATTCGTGTCTTCATACCTGTACTTTGGATAATAATGATCATCACATTCCACCATCATTAATTACCCCATGCCCCCTCCCTTCCCCTCCAACCCCCCCTTTAGTTTCTCTCATCTGAAAAATGATTATTCAAGCTTCATTTACTAAAAAAATATTTATTGAGCCAACTACAATATGTCAGTCACTATTTTATGCAATGAAATAAGAATTTATAAGATTTTTGGCATACAGTAGATATCATTAACTATTTGTTAAAATTTTTTTAGTTGCAGATGGAGACAATGCCTTTGTTTTATTTATTTGTTTTTTTAAAAAAATTTTTTTTTAGTTGTAGATGGACACAATACATTTATTTTATTTGTTTATGTGGTGCCAAGGATCGAACCCAGTGCCTCATGCATGCTAGGCAAGGTCTCTACCACTGAGCCACAACTCCATCCCCTATTTATTTGCTTTCATGTGGTGCTGAGAATCGAACCCCATGCCTCACACATGGCTAGGCAAGTGCTTTATTACTGAGCCACAACTCCAGCCTGACATCATTAAATAGTATTTTTCCTTTAAAAATCTGCCACATAGACTAAATAACTGTCTCACCTTTGTATCCTCTGATTACAGATGAAGTAGGAAGCCCCTTACAGACAGGTGGTGGACAATGTGAGTGCAAGGCCAGTGGGAAGACAGGAAATGGCTCCACCAGAACAGGCAGCAGCAGACTGCCTCCAGGAAACAGCAAAAGTAAGTGCACCTTCCAGAACAGGAAAGTCCATAGAGACAGAAAGTAGATTAGTGATTATTTAGGTATTGGGAAGAAATGGGGAAATGCTAATGGTGCAGAATTTTTGGGGGGGGGAGGGGGATGAAGAAAACATTTTATAATTGATTACCACAATGGTTGCACAACTGAATATAGTAAAAAAAAACACCAGAGCTGGGATGGGTAGCTTAATGGTAGAATACTTACTTAGCATGCACAAGGCCCTAGGTTTAATTCCCAGTATCAAAAAACAAACAAAAAGAAAACAAACTAAAACCCACTAGATTGTATACTTTAAATGGGTAAATTATGTGAAACATGAATTTTATCTCAATGCAGCCACAATTACTAAAAATATAAGTCGGTTCAACTACATCTTAGATGAGTCTTGCCTTTGTGTGTCACACATACTATTGCACAGAAGCAAGACTTGATCTCATCCTATTACTTACAGAATGTTCCTCTGTGCCATTATGGCCTCCTACTGACCAGCCATTATCTTTTCTAAACAGTGAAGACAGAAGATGTGAAGAGAGTCCGGGAGACTGGGCTACACCTGATGAGGAGAGCGTTGGCTGTGCTCCAGATCTTTGCTGTTAGCCAGTTTGGTTGTGCCACAGGCCAGATCCCTCAAACCCTATGGCAGAGAGGCCAGGCCGACAGAGACTACTCCCCCTTACTGAAGAAGCTGGAGGTATCAGTAGATAGAGTGAAACAGTTAGCCTTGAGATACCAGTCACATGACCATGTCATCACCTCTGCCAACCTCCAGGACCTCTCTCTGGGAGACAAGGATGAGCTGACCACGGCTGTGCGGAAGGAACTAACAGTGGCAGTGAGGGACCTGCTGGCCCATGGACTGTATGCCTCTTCCCCTGGGATGAGCCTTGTCATGGCCCCCATTGCTTGTTTGTTGCCAGCCTTCTCCTCAGCCCCTGAGACCATGCATCCCTGGGAGCTCTTTGTAAAGTACTACCATGCTAAGAACGGCCGTGCTTATGTGGAATCCCCAGCCCGGAAGCTGTCCCAGTCCTTTGCCCTGCCTGTTACAGGTGGCACTATTGTGACCCCCAAACAGAGTCTACTGACAGCCATCCACATGGTGCTGACAGAGCATGACCCTTTCAAGCGCAGTGCAGACTCCGAGCTGAAAGCCTTAGTGTGCATGGCCCTGAATGAACAGCGTCTAGTGTCCTGGGTGAACCTCATCTGTAAGTCAGGATCACTCATTGAACCACACTACCAGCCCTGGAGCTATATGGCCCACACAGGCTTTGAGAGTGCCCTCAACCTGCTCAGTCGCCTCAGCAGCCTCAAGTTTAGCCTCCCTGTGGACTTAGCTGTGCGCCAACTGAAGAACATCAAGGATGCCTTTTGATGAGACTGCCTGGACAGCTCCTCACTCTGTAGATGTGTTAGACTTCTAGAATAAGAGAAAGTGGTCCGAGGAGGGATGAAAGACATTTTTCCTATACTCTGCTTAGGTGGCCGGCAAAATATTTTCCCTCCATCAAGTTAGTATCTTGGAAAGATGTGCTGGAGACCCTCTTATTTAAAAGGTTCTCACAACTGGTTGCGGTGGCATATGCCTATAATTCCAGTGACTCAGAAGGCTGAGATAGGAGGATCGTAAGTTCAAGGCCAGCCTTGGCAACTTAACAGAGACTCTGTCTCAAAATAAAAACTGAAAAGGGTTGGGGATATGACATAGTAGCAGAGTGCCCCTGGTTTCAATCCCCAGTACCAAAAAATAAAGTAAAATAAAAATAAAAAGGTTTTCAGAGTCGGAGGTATGACTCAGGGGTAGAGCTCCTGCTTAGGATAAACAAGGCTCTAGGTAAGTTCAATAAATAAACAAAATTTTCTGTCTCAGCATGCACTGCAGTGTACATGTGGGCATGTGTGTTTGAGCCTGTGTAAAAGGAATCAGGGCACACAGCTAATGTCTCAACTTAGTGTGCCATATCTGATATTTAGAAAACTTGGGTTGCTCTAATCATTTCATGGCAGTAAGTGACAACATGAATGAATTGTTGATTCAGAGATATATTTGTGTTGAGACTCCTGTTAGTCAAGTTGGGAACTATCCTCCTTTATATGAAGCAAGTTTGAAATTTA